TGCACTATTCGTATTTTGAAGAGCTTTCAGTCTGTCAGCGCTCGAAAGTATGCTTTAATTTTATGGCACCAACACAGTCAACTACCTCGTCCATCTTCAATGCTCTTTATTGAAATATTATGCAACTTTGTTGATGAATTTTTCGCCCGACAAACTTCAGAGCTGCATGGGGACTGCGCATTAAGCGAATCCCGGTCTCGACCAGGATAAGGGGATGAGGAGTGTGAGCAATGACTCTTCGGCCTTTTAGCATTGTCAGGTGTCTACCAGGCGCACAAATGCAGAGACAGAATGCTAAGACGCTGAGCCGGCAACAGAGGCAAAAATATTATAATAGCAATTGAGAATTGCTGATGAGCCCTGCCACCAGGCTCAGGACCCTGGCTCTTCCTGACTTTTCGGCGAACTGACAGTTAACAACAATGTGCACTAAAAAAAATTAGACTTTTTGGGTGCCTCACAAAATTCTGCACGTTTAAAACCGCGTATAAATAAATGAATAATTAGGCCAAGCTAAAATCGAGGTTAGGAAGATTAAAAAACACCACAACTGATTTCTACAATGTACAAATCAGAACTAATCAATGTAATTTTTGAAAGCAAGCGAGTTTAAATTGTTTTTCTCCAAATGCATAAGCCCGCGCTAAAGCTCTCTGCTCTTTGCACAGACTGGATGCCGAGGGAGCATTTTAATTATTCAACATTGTTGACAAAGTTTTCACTGCGTGCGTGTGAGCGGGACGGCTGTTGAGCAATATGATTTGCTGCTTGAGCAGTCAAAAGTTGGCCCACAACAACGATAAAAGCGTCAAAAAACAGAAAATTCGGTCTACGGCAGCAGCAATATGCGGCTGTAGAAAGTGGCAGAATGGCAAAAGGGGAGTGTATGCCACCAGTTAGTCGTCACTTTGTTAAAATCACCTGAGGCAATGAATTGTGATCGAATGGCCATCAACGGTGCCCCATACAACTTTCAAATTATATACTGCCTTCTCGACATGCAACCACTATGTTTTCCCCTAGTTATACCATCATCCCTCGCCCTTTAAGCTTTTTCAAGGCCAATTATCATCTTGGCGACAATATGCCATGGATTCATGCTTCAATTAAGCTAGGCCCCTGCTATGGTTATCGTTTCAGTTGGGACCATGGACCAAATTGGTAGCGACTGCAATTTAATTTCTTTTCAGCAGTAGCAGTCCATAAGGGTTTCCAAAAAGAGAGTTCAAAAACGAAAGGGGAAAAAGAGGTATGGGCCCGATTGACCAAAAAGCCGGAAACACAAGACCCAGAGCTTCAGTTCGGCATTGGCGAAACATTTTTGCTCGACGCGCTTCAATAATTCTGTTTGCCCATACAGCAAACAGGGTAGCGAAAGAGACAGCAAGTGTGTGGGTGACTGGTTGAAAGAAGACATGGCTAGTGGCGGAAAAGAGGGAGATGGTAAACTACACACAGAGTGCAGGCGAAGCAAACATGTTTCGAGTGGCTTTTGTGGCATTGATGCGAAGACAAAAAAAGCGCCAAACCACATGTGCAAGCATCAGGCAGTTGCAACAAAAGTGGCTGCAGTGGCACAAAGCCCGAAATAAAACAGAATAAGCTCAAAAATAGTTAAGTCCATGCGATACCCTGTATAGATGGAAATTAAATTAAATTGAAATCCCAATTGGCAATGGATATATGTAATAGCACTTACTATCCGAATTCAAGATGCCATTCTTTATGAGTACCAGGACAACAAATTCTGAGATGAGATAATGATTTGAAATTTTGCCAGATTCAAACACAACATATTTGCGTAAAAACTAAACCCATTCAAGGGTCATGTGAACAATTACAATGCAATTGTTTGCCAGTGGCAAGCCCCATTCAATACCCATTCCACGACTTACTAACTACATTCCGCAACCCACCCAGGCCAAAAGTCAGACCAATGCCAAGCAAATGTGGGAACGAAACGATATGGAATGGATCGCCGTCCTGAAGTACGGAAGCAAGATATGCAAAAAAAAACCCACGAGCACTCACAGAATGGCTGGCGTCACCTTCGCCATCGTCTTAGTCATTTTCGTTTATAAGAGGCGCCGTCGCGGCCATTATCGATTAAAAAGGTCAGTAGCGCTGCATATAGCAGGACAGATGGAGATTTCGCATACACAAAACAAAAAAATGTTTTATATTATTTCGAATTAACAGGTCACATAGCAATTAGCACGGTTCATTGATATGTTTACACCCTTGCAGCCAGAAGTTGCAACGCAGTAAAGGTTACGTTTCCGACCCTATAAAGTTATATAGTATTAATGCTATCGGTAAGAAACTTTCTGAAGTTTTTTTTCTATAGCAGGTAGTATATAAGTCGGAACTAGCCAGATTGGACAACTTTAGCTTTGATAGGAATGATCGAAAAATAATAGAAACGAACTCTAGCTTTGTTGATTTTCATCATATTCTGTTTACTCGGTACAGCTCTTTTAAAGGATTTCAAATAAAATTGTTTTTTTAATCCGACGATTTCTGTAATATACGTATGATTTAACTGGTTGATATGGTTTCAGCTGCAAGGGTATATTAACTACGGCTTGCCGAAGAAGGGAAGCTTCCTTTCTTGTTTTGAAATCACCTAAAAGGAAATACAGTGAAAAGAAAGAAGTCCTCATTTGGATTCAAAATACATGGTTGCATACATTCAGACACCCTTATAAGCATTTTAACCCAAATGGTTTCTGTGGCACCCTCGATCATATAAAATTTTCTGTGTAGTAGGCTGGGCTGATGGTTCAAAAATGGTGGCCATGGTGCCCTGGCACTGCACTTTTTCTGATTAACTGTTGAATAATTTTCGGGGCTGCGGTTTTCCTTTGTGAGGGCCACTGCTAATTGAATTTGCATGACAAATTAGGGCACTCACTCGAATTAATAACGAATTGTGAATGAGAATATGAATTGTGGCAAGGATGGAGGACTGAAAGTTACTTAAAAATGTGTGCACAGTACGAACCCTTAAAAAAAGAAGCTTAAATAAATGTCGATAAGAGAAAAGTGGGTTTCACACACAATAGACTTGCATATTTAAACTCGGCACTTATACATATGTATGAATGTTTCCAGCTCCAGTCTCCATCTCCTTCATATTTTTGGCAGCAATTCGGTAGCGAGTCAAACAATGAACCTTTTGTATGCCACAACGCGTTCCTTTTTATTACTGCTGCCCTTACAGAGGAAGACACGAATATTCCACATACGTGGTTCATTGTTTGTATTGAACGCAAGGAGCACAGGGATTCGGAAAACGGTGGAGAAAGCACACAGAAAAGGAGAGAGAGAATGGCAAGCGAATTGTCGACTGAGGCGTGTTCATTTGCGCTTCAAATCTAAGAATAATAGCTGCCTTGATTACATTCACTTCGCTTTATGACAAGCAAGAAAAAAGTAGCGCAGGAGAAGGGAAGTACATGCCGCCTTGGAACAAAAGCACGCTATAGTCGAGTACCTCGACTATCAGATAGCCCTTACTCAGCTAAAGGAACCAAAGGGAAATGGAAATATTGAAGCAGCAAAGCGAGATTGAAATGCGCCACCTACCGGCGGTAGACAGATTTAAGCGGTCTGGGCGTTAGAGTGGGCGTGGCAAATTTTTTTTGGATCAATCGATAGGTATTGACGAGACCAATACATTTCAGTAAAAAATTTGTATCTAGTATAAAAATTGTGGGCGCCACTGGTTTGGGCGGTTTGTGGGCGTTAGAGTGGGCGTGGCATATTCGCGTGCAAGGCTACGGAATTTAAATCTGAGATACCAATTTTCTATCTTCGATAGTTTCCGAGATGTCCACGTTCATATATACGATTTTTTGGTTTGTGAATGGTTTGTTGGTGTTAAAGTGAGCGTGCCAAATTTTTTTTTGGATCAATCGATAGGTATTGATGGGACAATACATTTCAGTTAAAATTGTTATTCCAGCACCAAAACTGTAGGAGTCACAGTTTTGGGCGGTTTGTGGCCGTTAGAGTGGGCGTGGCATTCTGCTGAAACAAACTTGCGCTGCGCAGGAATCTCAGGAATTTGCATGCCTAATCCCAGTATTCTAGCTTGTATAGTTTCCGAGATCTCAGCGTTCATACGGACAGACGGACACGGCTAGATCGACTCGGCTAGTGATCCTGATCAAGAATATTTACATGTACTTTATGGGGTCGGAAACGCTTCCTTCTGCCTTTTACTCTACGAGTAACGGGTATAAAAATAGAAGCTTAAAAGTCGACGAACGATAACTCTTAACGATAGCCAATACAGCAAGTGTGAATACCAAAATCGATAAATAAGAACACAAATTGTAAATTGATCCATAGCTATTTTTGCCACACTGTGCGCCTTCAGTTGGCCTCAAATGAAAAGAAATGATATTAAGTGGCATGTTGTTGCTTGTTTGCCTGAGTGGGATGTGATGTGGGAATGTGGCCACGCATGACCAACTTGCAATAACCCTCACCACGAGCACCACCACCTACAAACGGACGTCGTCTGCCTGTCTCTTGAGCTCAACACTGTAGGCCTGTTAAACATTTCGAGTATTAATTGTGTGCGAACAGCAATAACAGAGGGCATGGGCGTGGGTGTGAAAATGGTGGCGTATATTAGATTGAAGAGTAGAGGCTGGAGACGACTGACAGACCGTCGTAATTAGAGCCAGGCATGATTTTTTGCGTTATTAACTTTGTGTGTTTTTATATTATGTTTTGGGTTGGATTATTATATATAAATGACCCATTTTCCCAAAAACTCTTATCTGTATTAAATCTTATTTCCATACTAGTTGTCTTTAATGAACAACTTCGAGATTTGAGTTATTTTTAGCTACTAGTTTACTATCCAATATAACTTATTTTCGACCACCTCCCATAAACTTTTGTGCAACCGTGTCGAATGCGAATCTTCACGGTTCCCACTTCCATAGCCGATCGCATCTGCTCAGCTATTTGGGCATAGTTGTACGATGGCAACCATAGTGGAGTTACAGCTTATCCTCCTTTTAACCGCAATCAGGTACGGAAATTCCCTGCATCAGGGATCGCGGGTTCATCAACAAAATTACGGCTATGCGCTGCAGATCTACGATCCAAAGTTTATAGCAACCGGATCATTGTTCAGTGCCCGTTATATTTTAACGGTTGCGCACTGCTTCAAAAGGAATACCAAACCGGAGGAGCTGACAGTACGGGCGGGTTACGACAAGATAGCTAGGGAATTTAAAGGCAGACCAGTGGCGGGATTCCTCCGCCATCCGAAATTCTCACCTCTTACCCTTCGAAATGACATTGCCGTGCTGAGAGTCAAAGTGGCTATTGGATATTCGCGTAGAATTAACTATATAGCCCTGTGCTCGATGCCCTTGAGGCGCGATAAGGCCGCAAACCAACTGGTGATCGCAGGTTGGAGTTTGATGAATGTAACCCAGTCGCTGCAATCCATTAATGTCCGGGTGGAGTTAGAGAAAAACTGCCGCCATTGGTTTCCCCAATTGCCAGGCGGAGTGTCCTGCGCTTCTACTAAAATCGGGGAAGGTCTGTGCTATGGAGACTCCGGGGATCCTCTGATCACCGGTGGTGAAATCTGTGGCCTGGCAATAGCCTTTCGGAAATGCGGAGATAAGCGCTATCCCGCCCTTTTCACGGAGGTCTATTACCATCGGCCCTTTATTGCCCACGCTGTACTCACATTGGACAGAGAAATGTTAAAAAAACCAAGGGGTTGAGTCCCGAGAACTCTCTACATGCCAAATGGATTACGGAAAATTGCAGCTGAATGAAGTCTACATATGCTCAAAAGGCAGCTGGAGGACTCATCAGCAAGAAAAGAGGCAAGGAGAAATTAGAATACATACAGAACTGAATAGAATAGAATAATATAAATATAGAGCAGTGTATGTTACAATGAACGTAAGATTAAAGCAACTCCTTTTTTTAATATATATGGAGGATAAAACACTTCTATCAAATTATGTATGACTGCAAAAAAATATATTTAGATTCTTTAATTGCATCATCATTTAATTGCGTCATTTGCGTTGCAAAAAAATTCCCATGGGACTTTGAAAACATTTGAAAATTTTATACAAATGTATTAGATCTTGCAGAGATATGAATCAATGAAATGATATTCCTAAGTATACTTCCATACTTATACCCTTGCAAAGGGTATAATGATTTCAGTCAGAGGTCTGCAACGCAGTGAAGGAAAAGTTTCCGAATGTTATAAGTTCACTGCTTACAGCTAACGACGAAAAACGACTACAACACCGCCAAGTGGCCACTTTTATCCTTTTATACCTCTCATTTTCCATTGCCAAGACCAAATCAATTTTCGCTTTGAATAAATTCAACAAATTGGAGTGTGTGCTACGCCACTGTGCGTGTTGAAGTTGGTTTGTTGAGGAATTGGAAAGACTTTAGGAGAGATTCTCCTGGATGGTTGGCTGGTCGCTCGAAAATCACGACACATAACCCATTAACCCGTCGTTGCATGTTAAAGGAAAGGAGACGATTTTCATACATTTTTCCTTGCATTTTTCCTTTTTTTGCTGTATGCCTGCCTGCTCAGGTACAACTTTTAATGAACTCATATGTTTAAAAAGAGAAAACGCTATAGTCGTGGACCTCTGTTTTAAGATACCTGTTACTCAGCTATCGTTCATTCCAATCGACTCCTTATAAGAATTTACAAACGCGCCACATTATGTGAAACCTAGGTGGCGCCAGTGAAATTTCGAATGCAGACGATTTTCTGTATGAATATATCTCCATCTCCATTATAATGAATGGTCCGATTTGAACAATTTTTGACATGAAGGGTGGTATTGATAATAGGAACAAAATCTAAAATCATATACATTTTTACAAAATATAAAAAAATTTGAAGCTAGACGGGTTTTAGAGTTATGGGCGATTGTGAGCGTTAGAGTGGGCGCGGCACCCTGCTAAAAAGTCGAGAAATCAGCGTTCATACGCACAGACGGACATGGCTAGATTGACTCGGCTAGTGATGCTGATCAAGAATATATTTTCTATATGGGTTCGGAAACGCTTCTTTCTACCAGTTTCTTACTTTCCGACGAATCAAGTATACCTCTACGAGTAACGAATATAATAAAAATGTACACGTGAACATGAATATAAAACTTGAAAGAGGGAGAGACGCATTAAAGGACAAACTGAATCCTGCTCATCCTGTGAGTCCTGAGCTCGGTAAAACACTATGCAACAAAGATAGGAAAAACTTGGATGGCCGGAAAAATAAAATAGACAATTATTGAAAAGATTGACGATGAGAATGACGATGATGACATGTTGACGTCGTGTCGCCCTGATTTTTCCTTCCGGGCAAAACAGTTGTTAAGACAGCAGTGACGTGCGCGAATGAAACAAATAATTGTAAGTCCAAGCATATAGAACCTAATTTTAATTAGCTAATTAGGTACCGGATCTGCACCGAATCGATTATTTTGGTAAACCGTGGTCTCGGAAACTAGGAAAGCTAGAGAGTTGGGATTTTAGATTCAGATTTCAAAGCTGATTCAGCTTAAGTACCACGCCCACTCTAACACCCATAACGGTAAGAGATGCCCCTTGTAAAACTTGTAAAAGTGTAAATGAGATTTGGTTTTGTTTATCCGTTGATGCAATCGGACGATTAGAAAGTGCACACTGCAAATTTTATTTTTCAATTAGTTAAATTGATTATCTGAGTTGTCGACTTTAGTTCTCTTGTATTTATAATAAAACATACTTGAATAACAAATTAGTATGTATACTACTTTATGTAAATGAAATATAGGTAAACTAAAATGATTCTGTCTTTTTAATTAAAACTTTAAAATAATGTTATTATTAATCGAGATTAATAATCATTGATTGATATAACTTAACAAAGAACCGAAAAGGGATATGAAGTTTCTATATTTTTTCAAGGCCACAAAACTTTTGAAAAGTGATTTAGGTATGTCAATTTAAGGAAAATTGGCGTATGAGGTCTTAAAAACGGTCAAGTTGTTGTCAGAGAAACGGATAAATATATTATCTAATCGACAATTGTGATAAATTGTACTTTAAATCAACAATCGAGTCAGTCCCTCGTCAAAATCAAGGGACTAACATGGCTTGACTTCAAGCTAGAATTCCTTTCTGAATTTTCTCATTTTTCTATGTGTTACTGTATGTAAAACTTGTTTACTAATAATGCCTCACATATTTGCTTCACTCCTGGGCCTTGGGCGCTAAAAAGGATGGTAACCTTTCCACCGAAAAATACACCCAAGTAACACATTACCCTAGTTAGGAATATCTTCCTTACCCAGCTTGGGTTTATTTTGCTTTTGTTTTCGTTTTCCCTCTCGCATTTTTCATACTTTTTTGGTATCTTAAGTATTAATCCTAATTGAACGGAAATTCCCTGATGGACACGCACAGTTTTTCGGGGAAACCCTTATTTCTGTTTTTGTTTTTATTTTGAGTTAGTCCTTCCTTAGCTATTTTACGGCGATTGCCTTTCTTTTTTGTCTAGTTTCACCATCATTTTTGTAGCTGGAGCTGAAAAGCGGACTAAGGTATAAAGCATGTCCGTAGGCAATCGTGTGGGTCATGTGCGGTAGATAAATTATAGCCGATCCGTTTAATTTCCACATCCCCTGCATATACCTTTAATCAATAATCTTAGCGTACTTTCTGGCCCTGGCCCATATCTTATAATTACGCAGCCACAAGAGCATACCATGCAAAAAATGTAACTTGCTAAATGCGTCAGATGGTTAGAAGACCGGAACAAAAATGTTCTCAAATAGACATTTAATGGTTCCCCATTCTCATTACATAAAGGTGTCTTAAAAAAGCAGTATATAACACGCACACGGCGGGAGGGAAAATAGGAAAAATTGAGAGGAAATGACCGAAGGAAAACCATGTGGGCCGAGCTTATTTGCCACGCTGGCATTTCATGTTTGCTTACGACCGCCTTGGGCATACTAAACTCCCATTATGCCGGTTTGACCGATTTGCGTATCTGAAAAGAGTAGGATGTCGTAAAAACCCACTGAGGTAACTTTCAGTGCTTGGTAATGTTTCATTCTTTTCGACTGCTCAATATATATGGTTTTGTTCTTGTTTATAGAATATTTATGTTGGCAAATTGTGAACCAGGTGAAATGTGGTCTTACAGACAAAAACGCTTTTTTGTATAAATTTTTGTACATTGAAGCGAGGTAGTTTTAAAAGTATACTTTTGATTCCGTCATATTGCTTTGAAGAAAACTTATTCTTTTAGTTAGAGACAACCCTGATGATTTTTGAACGAAAATCAAGTTCTTACTTAGCTTTCTTTCTTGAAAGACAAATAAATTTTTTGAGTGCTTACAATTACTGACACAAGATTTTTTTTGTCTCTTATCAGAACTAGAAAAAGTAATTTGTCCTCTTGATTGTCCCGTTTTCACCCATAATTGTAAAGCTATCAAGAAAACTTAATGACATTCTCGATGACTTAAAATTAAATGCACAGGATTTGTTTGACTCCTGTCAGACTAGAAGTACATTGTCCTGCGGAATGTCCAGTTACTTAGCCATAACTGAACTCTCAAAAATCGTTGGCAATCTTTCGTCTCGTTTGAAAGTTTGAGGACTAAAGGCAACCACAAGAGGAGCTTTGTGTATTCTGGTCTGACAGGGACCCATACGATTTAAGTTACGTTCTTGCCTATTGAAAGTTGACTTTGACTTTGTTTTCCGATTGCATTGACTTCCTTTTTGTGCTCGTCCTTCAGAACTTTTTGGACCCTCGTCTTTAGACCTATTCTTCGGTTTTTATGGGGTCTACACTTTTCAGGCTTGTTATGACCTCCCTTTGCTAACTACCGTTCTTTATTGAAACCGATCTAATTCAGCTGTTATTATTGATGTTTTTAATCGATTTGTTCAAGTCTCTAACTAACTTTGATTTATCTCTGTGTCATTCTCGCAATGCACACATTTTTATTCCCGTTACTCGTAGAGTAAAAGGGTATACTAGATACGTCGGAAAGTGTGTTACAGGTAGAAGGAAGCGTTTTCGACTCCAAAAGTATATATTCTTGATCAGGATCACTATTCAAGTCGATCTAGGCATGTCCGTATGAACGTTGAGATCTCGGAAACTATAAGAGCTAGAATGTTGGGATTTGGCATGCCGATTCTTGATCTTGAGCAGTGTGCCAGGCCCACTCTAACGCCCACAATCGGCCATAACACTAAAACACTAAACATTTTTTAATATTTTGAAAAAAATTAAATGAGAGTTTGTTTTTATTGTCAATTGTCTACAATTATTTAGCTGAGTAACGGGTGTTTGATGGTCGATGGCATCGGCTATAGCGTCCTCTCTTGTTTCAATTTAATATTCTCATTTTGGTCTTTCTTCCTGTCTCTGTCGCTGTAGTACGTTTTCCGGGGTTTCAAAGCGTAGCTCTTTCTGCGGCTGTTAAGGTAAACAACGAAATGTCCGCATATTTGGCACCATTACTCAAATTGCCATTATGCACGCGCATTGCCTTCACCTCGAATTGTGCCAACCAGTAATCGAGTGTCCCGCTTTCCGATTTTCCACCATTATGACGGCCACAAATGCAATGCAGTGGAGTTTTTCCCCTTCCGATTTTCAAACGGCAATGCGACAATCGCAGGTGGAAAAGAGAGGGACAGAGGTAACCGCAACCATATAGAGCGCTGCATTTTACCCGCTTTTCCCCTTTGGCACGTGTGTCGAGTTCATTATCGCTTCTACAAATACACACACGCTATACACTATATATATGGAACAGAGTTGCCCACTCACATTTGCATTGGAATTTTCTATTGCCAGTTTTTTTCTCGGTTTTGGGGGCACATTACAATTTAAATTATTCGCATGCGGCCGGCAAAACTTGTCGCATATTATTTATAGGAGAATAAGGGAGCCC